GAATTAGAAGTTATAAGCTACATATTTTATTATTATTTCGAATTTAGTTAATGTAAAACATCATTACTTTAATTCTTATATAATATCATCATTATCTATAATTACTACAGATTTTTAAAGGAAAATGACACTATCATTATAGCCTTGATGACTATATGTCTCCAAATATTATCAAATTGACTAATAAACTAGAAAACATGCACACATACACATTACAACAGTTTCACATACAATCATATTCTTAATCACTAATAGAGTCTTCTCCAGCTGTCTCCCCTCCTTCTCCCTCTTCCTTTCCCCCACCTTACTCTCTTATTTCTTTCCATTACTTCACTAAAAATAGAAAAGAAATGTATATTTCATTAATCCAGATTTCAATATGCATTTTGTCTTAAGGCATCATGATGGTTTTATAGGCAGAACCTAAATGTCATAAGCATAAAAATATGAGATTCTAAAACTAGAAGAGATCTTAGAGATTAATATTAAACATCCACACTAGTCAGGATATCATATCTCATCTACCCTACTAATATTTATTCACAGTCATCAGTCCATTACCTATCTGTCAATTCCATCACCTATCTATCCACCAAAAAGGTCTAGTCTAGGGGAAATGATCAAATTATTGTACCTCTAATGCTTAAAAAATAAAACCAAAATTCTTCAGTGTGAATTTCTCCTTACTACTTTTACTCCCAAGAGCCTTCACTCCACAGTCCCAATTCAACCAGCTCCCTCCAGAGCTTTCAACAAAATACGTGCTTCTCTTTTCCATGCTGTTAAATTAATGATAGACCATAAGCCTGAGTTGTCTCTGAACATGGAGTTCCTACTTAAGAAACCAAAACCTAATTTGGAAGTTTATTTTTTTATAATACACAGGTGAGTTTCAACTCATCACAAACAGCCAAGTTTCACCTAGTCACAGGTAGTCAAGTGATAAGACCATGCCTGAATAAGCCAAATGCAAAACTATAGACAATTAGTTGATTTCTCTACTTTGTTTCAGTGCTGGGTCTATAAAAGATCACTGCTCACAATGCTAGGTAGAGCTTTCTGAACCTCTTCTGGTTCTTAGTGATGTATAATACATCATTCTTTGCTCAAATAATTTCTGCTAAATTTAATTCATCTTTAGTTTTTAATTTAAGACTTTGTTCATGATATTCTCTAGCTAAAATGACTTTTTCTTCTACTTTCTCTGTTGAACTTCTACTTAATTGTTAAGGCCCAACTCAAGGAATACCACCTCTGGGTTCTCTATTGTCCCTACTCAAAATTAACCATTTCTATTGTGGTCCTATAGCTTTAAAAAATTATGATTTGACTAAATGAAGTGTACATCTTCCCACCTCCCTCAATAGACTATGGGTACCCTAGTAAATGAAGATTTTATTTATTTTTCCTTCCTATTTTGCTTAGTAATTTGCACATATTAGGTACTCTACAAACTAAAATGAAATAAAAGAGTCATTCTTTGCTAAAACAGAAACAATCTATCTTTAACAGAATATTAAAAGTAATTTTCTCTAAAACTCTAAAAAATAATTCAAATAGTAAAATTTATGGTTCTTTCATATATTAAATATTTAAACATTTGAATATTAGACATATCAGAACTAGTGTATTTTAAAACTTCTATTTAACAATTCTAAGATACTATAAAATTTTTAACTTTTTCTTGCAAACAGACTAGTGATGCTTTACAGTGCATTTAGCAAGAAGAGAGATGTGAACTCTCCAATGCCCTTGCAAGAGAGGAATGTTCTCAAAGGTTTTGGAACACTGAGTCTAAGAGCTTTAGAAATAGGTCTTAGAAACAAGGGGTGTGTTGCTCATTCCAGAATACAGCTGAATGAACTGCAATGAGAAGCATAATGGGGAATAAAGTGGTGCCCTAGAGCTAGGGAAGCCAAGGCAGTGCTATTTAAGTTTGCTGGAGCCAGAACCTCCTGCTGATTTCTTACTGAGCCTGCCACCTATTGACCAAATTATGAATCCAGGCACTGCAAGTGACAAGGGACTTCAGATATTACAGGAAGACCAATCAATAGTTATTGAGTGTTACAAAAAAATGGCAGTTTTCTATCATTAAAATTTATTTTGGCTATGCTGTGCATATCTAGAATATTCTATGATGGTTAATTGATCCCTTAAATGTCCCTTCAGAAATAACTCTTGGTGAAGGGATGATGCCCCATCCTGATTTGTACTTAAATATTCAAAGTAAGGAAACTAGGAGTAGTGTTAACATAAAAAATTTAGAGAATTAAATTAAGACAAATGAAAATGCAACATTCACAGCAGTGAGTAATTGAGAGCGTTTATATGATTTTTGTTTGGATTTACTTTGGTTTCATCAGGTTTTGGTAGCAGCCGTAAAGACTACTTCTGTTGTAACTGATTAGCTCTAGCACATGCTACACAGAAGAAGAAGACAATCTCCTGTTGAATTAACAGTTGTATTAAGTGACAATAGCCAAAACAACAATAATAACACACACACACACACACACACACACACACACGTATAAACAGTATCAGGTAAATGAGAGGGAGAAGCCAATTAATTTTTATTAAGTGCATGCTTGATGGCAATCATTATGCTAGGTACTTTAAATATATAATTTTATTTAATTCTAACAATACTACTAGGTAAACATCAGTGTATTTATTTTATGAATCATAAAATTTAGTAACTGAGATTACAAGTATCAAAGCCAGAAAGGGAGAAGATATGATTCTATATACTCTGGCTTTTTCTACTCTTAACACATTACATTTGGAAACTCTCTACTACACTGAGTTTTACACTAACTTCTCTGTCTCTTACTTGAGTTTATTCATCAGTAAAATAGTCTGTGTTTAATTGGTTGTGTGGTCTAGGCTAAATAAAATTTTATGAAACCTATGTTTCTTGTAATGCTCAATACAAATAAATCAATAAGCAAAACAGCAACTGGTCAATAGAAAATGTACAAAGAAATGGAGGAGGGAGTTCAAAGAAAAAGAAGTCAAAAATTGCCTATAAACAGGATAAAAACTGTTCAACCTCACTTCTGACTTAAAAAATAAAAATTATAACATCCATGACTTACTATTTTCACCTCTGAGATAGATAATGGCTATAGAGAAGGAGATGTGCATAAGATCCCTTTTCTAAAATGCTTGGGACCAGAGGTGTTTTGGATTTCAGATTCTATTTTCAAATTAGGAAATACATATACATAATGAGATATCTTGAGGAGGAGACCCAAGTCTAAACAAGAAATTCATTTTTGGCTCACGTATACCTTATACATGTGGCCTGAGATAATTTTATTCAATAATTATAGTGTGCCTGTGTCTTGACTGCAAACTGTCACAGAGGTTAGGCATTGAATTTTCTACATGTGACATTATATTGGCAATCAAAAATTTTCAGAGTTTATCAGATTAGGAATGTTCAACCTGTATTCAAATACATTCTTGATGACCGCATAAACAGACACAAACTTCATGGCAGGAAAATTCATAATATAAAAATTTTAAATGTAGAAAACATTTTTTCAGGAAATTCCACTTCTAGAATTTATCTTAGAGATTCTCATGTATGTACACAAAAGTACATGTGCAAACTGAGTTGCCACACCACTTTTTTGAAAAAGTAAAATACTAGAACCAGTCTAAATAACCATCAATAGGGGACTGCTGAAATGAATTAAGATAGTTCCATACCACAGAATGCAATGCAGTATGCAAAGAGAGCACAGTAAATAAATGCAAGTTCACATGAAATAAGCCACAAGTACATTTAGTGAAAACAGCATGAATCAAAAAAAATAAATAATAAATATCATATGCTTCTAGAGGCACAGATTATTTCTAGGAGACAATGTGGGAATTCAGTAGTAATGGTTTTCTCTGTGGAAGAAAGGTAAAAATCTGATTAAAGGGAAAGTTCTTTCTTTTTTAACCACAAATATTATTTTAATAACTATCATAAGAATTGTGTAGTAATTAGCTATAAGAAAATTTTCAATTTAAAGAAGTGACTATAATAAATAGTTATTTATGAAGTCACTGAAGAACCTTTTAAATGTGAAGTCTACTATGATAAATAAGGAAAAAACATACTACTGGCAAAACATTTTTTTAAGGTAAAAAATTTTCAGAATATTCTAACCACCCCAGATTTCTCTGTGTGCGCAAGCATGTGCAGATGCAAGTATGTATAAAATTCAATCTATAAGAAACAATAAATAGAACACGGGCACTCCCAGTGTGCAAGATGTGCTAAAAGAACTAAAAAGAAATAATTTTCATCTCTTTCTCTCTAAATTTTCCAGAATTCACACTGTAGGGCATGTGTGACAAATCAGACAAATGATGGCAAAAGTGCTAATTCTAAGGGCAAAAGAGTACAGAATATTTCCATTTCTTAGCTGTTAAGACTCCTTCAGACAGAAAAATTCTATTCTTAATTATCAATTCTGCAGTAACTATGAAACAGAAATGACAATTACCTGAAATCATGAACCACAATAATTAATCATGAGATTGAGAAGTTAACAAAGTAATATCAAAAATATGTATGAAATACACAAGAGGTTAAGGATCTAATCATAAATAATGTACTCTATTATCAAATAAGTAAACATACTTATTGGGCATCAGATTTTATATTAATCCAGAAAACCTACCCATAACCAAAACTATGATATTTCCTAAGAAACCAACTTGGTAAGTGATATAAATGGAAAAGAAAAAGACTACGTAAGCCCCAAGGCAACATCTTATCCCAATTTTGTGAAAACTTCTGAGACATTAGTATTCTGTTAAACTTTTTATTTTATTATTTTCATTCATTCCGTTACATGGTGAATCAACAAATTTGTCTCCTCTGTTCCTCAGGAAAACTAACAATTTTGTAATTTAATATGTGGGATAGTACACATATTAAACACAAAAAGATAAAACCTATATTTTCAGATGAACAATAACATTTATACAAAATAAAATTCAAAGGAAAAAGAGGTTTTTTTTTTCTTTTTTTTTTTTTTTCGTTACTGGATAATATATAGCTAATTTGTTAATGTATTTGTTTGACACTATCCAGTATGGAAAAATTTCACATATACACATTTCTAAAAATCTTTGGCATGGTACTAAATTGCAATATATCAGAATCAGAAATTTATATATTTTAAAAGATGTACCTTTTATATGGGTAGCAAAATTCAGTGCCAATTTTGCAAAGAGATCTGGATTTTCAAACTTTTCTTCTTTTACTTTTAACCAGAAACAGTTCTCAGATAATTCTTTAGGCTCGATCTGAGGCAAAAATAGCAAAGATAAGTTTCTAAGTTATTATTTCATATTAAATTTTTCAAAGACTTCACTTTCAGCAGAGTTGAATGGCAATTCTTTTATTCATCTACCACTAAAGCAATTTTAGGATCTATCAAAACAACACACATAGAGTAAATATTCATTGCAAAACTCTGAAAATTCTGTTGGCATGCAGAAAAGATACACAACAACAATAAGCCATATAGAAAATTACATTTTAAAAATTCTTCTACTGAAAAGAGTCTTAAAATAATTTAGTAAATCCTTCTTCAATTCACATGCATTCTATATACACTAATTATTTGAAAACAGGAAATGTAAGACTCAGAACCACTGAATTTTCCATGTTCTTTTATTAAGTTGAAGGCAACAACCATAATAACAGCTTACACATACTTCCTACTATGTGTCAGTTACTGTCTTAAGTGATTTGCATATATTAACTAATCTAATCCTCACAATAGTCCTTCAAGGACCTATTATTATCTCCATGTTAAAGAGAAGGAAACTGAGCTCCAAAATGTTTAAGTAGCTGCTGAAGCTAGTAAATGGCCCAGCTGGGTTTTCAATCCAGGCAGTATAGTTCCGTAGAATTGTGATCTTACTACAACAAATCCAAAATTAGAATTATGCATTTTCAGTACATTTTGATGCTTTGGTGATACATTAAGTATCATTCCAGTGTACACTAAATTAACAAACCTATCATTACTTTTACATACACAGAAAACTGAACTAACGAATTCTGAATCATATATTTTGGTGGACTGTGACTAATTACAAATAACTGTACACTAAAACCATTTATAATTAACATACTCTTTTGAGCTTAATCTTTAAAAACAACTGAATCATCAATTGAATTAAAACAACTTAATACACACACACATTCAGATATAGCTTTACATGTTTCTGGGTAAATATATTCTCATTAGAAGATTAATTTCCAATGAATGAGAACTATGACAATCTGTATAATAATTTTTTTAAAAACATATTATTTGATAATAATAGCAAAGCAAAATAACATTCAGAAGAAAATATTTTCATATACAATATCAAAAATACTTAAGTTATGTCACCACTGAATATTGTCAGCTACTGCACATTATCTGAAAGTTTAAAACCAAACAATAATTACTTTCTGAGTAAAAATAACTAAAAAAACCAAAACTCAATAACAGAAGAGATTTTATTTAAGAAAGGTTACTTCAAGTTAACAGAGGTAAAAATCTTAATTATTTTTCATTTGATGATATATTCCATATAGCATTCTCTATACTACTTTTAATTTTCTTTTTGCCTTCCTTATAATTTCAAACTATGTGTGTGGGGGGGGTTCTACTCATCTAGGTAGTAATCTGAAAGATGGACATAAGATGGTGAATTCACAAAGGAAAGCAGTACAAGTCATTAGTCATCTCAAACTTTATGAAACACTTACATGTACTAATGAATTCAGCACATTAATGGTCAATCATGGCTAAACAAAGACAAAAATCTCTATAGTTACAGTATTACTGTTATGTTTTAGGTATGAGATGTGCCCCCAAAAGCTCACATGTGAGGTGATGCAAAATTGTTTGGAGGAGAAAGAATTAGATATGTGAGTTGTAACCATATGAGTAGATTCATGAACTGACAAGGATTAACTGGGTAGTAACTATAGATAGTTAGGGTGTGGTGGGATGAAGTGCAACACATGGGTCTTCCTTTGCTATTTATACTTTGTCCCTACTGAGCAGAGTTCTTTCTCTGCTTCATATCTGCCATGTCCTTACTGATATCCTACTCCACACACTTTTGCCATAATGTTACCTTGGGCCCAGAGCAAAGGAATCAGCCATCAATGGACTAAGACCTCTGAAACCATGAGCATCAAACTTCTCCTCTTCATTCTTATCAGATTTTTAGGTAATGGTGACGAAAAGTTGTCTAAAACAATTACCTTTGACCAATTGATTCTCTTCATGGACACTTCAGGTTTATATATTTTCTTCTGCTTCATTCCATAAGGTAGATCAAGTGGCACTCCTGGGGGAGAAGACATTCCTCCGAGGGGTGGTGGTGCAGGAGGTCCTCCAAATAAAGGTGGTGGTGGTGGTGGTGGAATACCCCCAAATCCAGATAATGGAGGTGGAGGAGGAGGAGCTCCAGGTAGAGGTGCAGGTGGTGGAGGTGGTGGTGGGCCAACACCTGGCAAGGGAGGTGGTGGAGGAGGACCTGGAGTTCCTGATGAACTCAAGGATCCATGGCCCTAAAAAATAAATGGTATGAGTTTAACCTTAGAATAAAATACAGCAGAAAGTATACACATAGTAGACATTTGTGGTTTAAGATTATATATGCTTTCTGGGCATAGTGGCACATGCCTGTAATCCCAGGAGCTTGGTAGGCTAAGACAAGAGGATATCAAGTTCAAAGCGAACCTGAGCAACTTAGTAAGGCCCTTAGCAACACAGAGCGGCACTTTCTCTAAATAAAATGTTTAAAAAAGGGCTATGGATGGATGTGACTCAATATTTAAGCACCCGCAGGTTCAATTCCTGGTACAAAAGAAAGAAAAAAAAGACTACATATGCCTTTTTGTAAATATTTATTTTTTAGTTGGAGTTGGACACAATACCTTTATTTCACTTATTTATTTTTATGTGGTGCTGAGGATCGAACCCAAGGTCTTGCATGTGCAAGGCGAGCGCTCTACCGCTGAACAACAAAACTTCCCCTACATATGCCTTTTTGAAGCCTTAAGATTTTATAGTTTAATAGTACATATAAAAGACTTGTGTACACTTTGGTAAGCATTACAAAGTCTGGAAAGCAACTAGTACTGCTAATACATCAAGGATACAAAAGCTGGCATCATTCAAGATTTTTTGAAATACTCTACAAAAATAATGAAAAACTATATTTCATCATAAATATATCCAAAGAAGAAGTACTGTATATAGTTTGGGCATGTTAGACTAGCTGGTTTGACTAGGGGCTAATTAATACAAGGCCACAGATTCAAATCCCTTGGGGGCCAATTAGCATTACACAAGAGTCTCTTTCTTAGCACCAGGAACTTAGCTGTCTTTTAATACCAATAATTAATACTAAAGAGCATTAATTTGCATACTAATATATGCTTATCAACAGTTTACAGCTATTATTTCTTTTTTTTTATTTTTATTATGACCTTGCAGTATAGATAGGGCATTTTTATTTCACTGCTTACAGAGGAGGAAACCCCAACTGCAAAATGTTAAATGATTGAACAAAAGCTACATAGTTGGAAAGGTGATTAGGATTTAAATGTGATGCCTCTAACAGCAAATGTGGTCTTCTTTCCAGTAATAACAGACTATATTTTCATGAATGGGTGTCATCTGCTTGAGGAGAATTCATTCACAGACTGGATTATGAAAGAAGAATAACTTTTTTCTACTATGGGAAAGTAACCTCAAATGTATTTGCTAATGACAATGGTTAATGGATGAAAGAGAATACTGCATTCCATACTGTCTTCTTGTTTGATGATGAATCTGTGACTATTTCTTTAACCCATTACTGATAACTATGATTCACTCTCTAAAACGAATATAAAAGTGGAGCTGTTCATTATAAATATTCTTACAGAAAACTATCAATGAACATATGTTGCTTTAATAAAGAAAGGACATTAGATTAACCAAACAACAGGTTTAAAACTAATGAAATTTCTTGGTATAGTATTATTTTCATCTCTGAAGAAAATCCTCTTACCTTTATTAATATACATTTTCTACTTGGACTATTAATTGTACTAATTAAACTTAGAAATATCTTTACAACACACTTTAAAACATATTTTTGGAAGAATCAATTTAAATGATTTTCCTATTCATAAAAATATTAAAAATTAACAGCCATAGGTCAGTATGATCATCGAACTGTTTTCCATAATATTCAATGCACAATGATCAAGTATTTTATTCATATATATGAATGTTTATGTATTTATATGAATATATATTACTAAAGTGTTCCTGTACTTAGCAATGAATCTTCCCAGGGAATCAAATCCTCTCCTGAAGTCAGGAAAAATCACACATGATTTGAATATGCAAAACACTTTTAATTTTACTTTTAATTAGCAAAATCATAAAAAAGTGACAATCACAGTCTTGACTGAGATCAAAGAAATTGTGGGGAAATTAAAAATTCAGGATCATAGTAATTTTTCCTACAGTGTTTGTGCATAAATAGACTTTTAAATATTTTGAAATGCAAAATGTGTTGCCCATTTTTTATTGGATGGCAAAACTAAAAATGAAGAAATAGCAAATAAGACACACGTATAAACATCAAATTTTTGTCTCATATGTTTATTATAAAACTTGTATAACCACAACAATGTTATTATTTTAAATAGAATTTTAGGCAGGAGGCATAGCTCAGTATGGCTGAATCGCCAATCATGTTTAAGACCCTGGGTTTGATCCCCTGCACCACCATTAAAAAAAAAAAAATCAAGAATTCATCTAAGTTAAATATACATCTTACATTTTTAATTAAGAATCTCCAATGTTTACATTAAAGGCTCACTGGCAAACACCTATAATCCAAGCAGCTAGGAAGGCTGAGGCAGGAGCATCACAAGTTCAAATCCAGACTCAGCAAACTTGCAAGGCCCTATGCAACATAGTGAGCCCTGTCTCAAAATAAAAATAAATAAATAAATAAAAGGGTTGGGGATGTAGCTCAGTGGTAAAATGCCCCCAATTTCAATTAAAAAAATTAAAAGACCTTTAAATTCAAATATTATCAGTATTTTCTTACCTCTAATGAGCAATTAGGAATTGATCAATTAATTTAGGCTACAATATAGTACTGTGACCTAACACACTAAATTAATAATTTTATATTTTAAACCATTTGGGGAACACTAGAAAGTGCAGTGCAACAAAATTTTATAGTTAACAGTAAATAAATACTTACTAAGTAATAAGGCCCTATGCTAGGTGAGCTTAAATCCTTAAGGTGCTTACACTCATATGGAATAAATAGAGAAGGCATATAAATAAATAAAACAATAGTAGACTTCGAAAGTAATATGGAATTTCAGAGAAATTCCCTGATAGAGGTATTGAAGGTTTCCAAAGGACACCTTACTTAGTTTCTCCTTTATAGTATATTTTTCACATGCACATATGAACAAGGTATGGGATTTCTGAAAGAGTATAACATAAACCAGCATTTATCAAGTAAATTCTATGCAAGTGATATTTCCAAGAGATGTTAATATGTGTTCTGACATTAAGAGTTCTGTAGTCAAACCTGTCTAGGAAAATTATATAAAAGAGGTATACAGTTTCTCCAGCGTAGGACTTCTTATATGGTTTAATATTAATGAATATTGTAAATTACCAAGAGACAATTTCATGTGTACTCAATTTAGTGGACTATGAAATGTTTTCCTGATTAAAAAATCAACATCTCTCTAACTAAATCTGAGAAATTATAGCAGGAAGAAAAGTATGGAGACAAGAAGTTGCAAATATGAAGGAAGGAAAGTTAACTTAGCTACAAAAGAGACTATATTTAAGGGAGCAATCAGAGCCTAGAGTACAAAGGGGAACAAGGGAGCCCATGCCAGAAGGGCTTAAAATTCCTGGTAAGGAGATTTTATTTAATCCTGATGATAACAGGCAACCACTGAACATACTAAAGCTGGAATGATAATAATCATGGCAGTGTTTCAGGAAGATTAATTTACCACTAACATAAAGGATAAATTTGAGGAGGAATAAAATATAGACAAGGGAGAAAAATTAGAAAACAATTATAATAGTCCAGGCAAGATATATTGAGAGTGGATCTGACCAGTTCTGGGATTTGGTGCAAAAAGGAAAAGAGAAAAAAAAAACTGACAAAAAACTGTGAGTAGGTTACTTTGCTACAGGTGGAACAAGGCAAAGTTAAAGAAAACTCCCACTTCACTATCTTCAAAAACGGTGGTAAAATTTAAACAAATAAAATGGATACCAAGCTAGTTTGAGGAAAAGAAGAAGGGAAATGGATGGCACTAGAGCAGATTATGCTTAGTGAAGCTAGCCAATCCCTAAAAAACAAATACCAAATGTCTTCTTTGATATAATGAGAGCAACTAAGAACAGAGCAGGGAGGAAGAGCAGGAAGAAAAGATTAACATTAAACAGAGACATGAGGTGGGAGGGAAAGGGAGAGAAAAGGGAAATTGCATGGTAATGGAGGGAGACCCTCATTGTTATACAAAATTACATATAAGAGGTTGTGAGGGGAATGGGAAAATAAACAAGGAGAGATATGAATTACAGTGGATGGGGTAGAGAGAGAAGATGGGAGGGGAGGGAGGGGGGATGGTAGAGGATAGGAAAGGTAGCAGAATACAACAGTTACTAATAGGGCATTATGTAAAAATGTGGATGTGTAACCGATGTGATTCTGCAATCTGTATTTGGGGTAAAATTGGGAGTTCATAACCAACTTGAATCTAATGTATGAAATATGATATGTCAAGAGCTTTATAATGTTTTGAACAACCAATAAAAAAAAAAAGAAGAAATCATGGATACTAGGTCTGATTTCTATATGCAGCAGGACCTTCCTATAAAGATTGCTAATCAAGAGCTGGAAATATAAAAAGAACTCAAGTGACTTGCTTGACTGGTCTGGAAGAAAGTGGCTCCTAAGGCATAAGTTAGCTCATGATTGCTTCAAGAGCTTTGCTTTGCCTCTTGAAACAGCAGAGGAAAGAAGGATCTAGTGAAATATTCCACGTCAGGGTCCAAATCTGAAGCTAAAGGAGATGTTTAACTCCAACAGAGAACCCTAGTATTTGAACTTCAGTACCAGTGCTAACATTCACATTGGCAAAACCAAGTCTTTGTTACATAACGATTTCCTATGTAGATTTAAATGAAATTGGGAACATTTTGGTCTTAGTAACCTGACTGTAATGAACTGCCTGGTAGATGGAAATATCCCACAAAGTTCTGTATTCTCTCACTCCAGTTCTTTGGTCTGTTATGCTGACTTAGATTTACACTGCTGGGAATGAACCTGTCCAAGAAGAAAATACTGAGGCTAGAGAATTTATAAAACATGGCCAAAGAAAAATCACTTGTGATTAAAGTTGTATGAATTACAGCTCACATATACTTGATCCAAAAACAGCTGTTTTCCTGACAGAAGAAAATATAGGGTCAATACTCCAACATATAAGCACAAATAGGTTCCTCAAAAAGACTCATAAAGGTCATGAAAAAAACATAATGAATTAATAAATGTGATGGCATCAAATTAAAAAGCTTCTGTGAAATAAAGGAGACAACTAAGGGTATAATGAGAGAGCATAATGGGAGAAAAACCTTTGCTAGCTACTCTTCCAACAAAAGGTTCATATCCTGACTCAAAAAGTATAACACCAAAAAAAATCAATAAGTAGGAAACTGAATTAAATGGATACTTCTAAAAAAGAGGAAACACAATGGCCAACAATATATTTTTAAAAAGGTTCAACATCGTTAGCAATCGGGGAAATGCAAATCAAAACTACAATGACATTTTATCTCCCTCCATTTAGAATGGAGGCCATCAAGAATACATACAATAATAAATGCTAGAGAGGATATGGGGGAAAAGGAACACTTTCACACTGTTGGTAAGATTGTAAACTAATAAAACTACTATAGAAATCAGTAAGGAGATTCCTCAAAAGACTAGAAATGGAATCACCAAAGGACCCAGCTATAGCACCCTTTTGTTTTTATCCTAAAGAATTAAAGTCAGGGGGCAGGGATTGAGGCTCAGCAGTAGAACGCTTGTCTACCATGAGTAAGGCCCTGGGATGGATCCTCAGCACCACATAAAAATAAAAAATAAATAAATAAAGGTATTGTGTCCAAATACTTCTAAAAAAATAAATGTTTTAAAAAAAGAATTAAAGTCAGCATACTATAGTGCTATATGCATGTAAGTGTTTATAGCAGTACAATTCACCACAGCCAAATTACGGAACTATTCTAGATATCCATCAATGGAGAAATGGATAAAGAAAATGTGGTATCTATGCATAATCAAGTTGTATTAAGTCATAAAAATGAAATTATGTTATTTTCAAAAAAATGAATAGAACTTGTGGGCATTATGTATAACAAAATAAACCAAACTCAGAAAGTCAAGAGTTGTATATTTTCTATCATATATGGAAGTAAGAGAGGAAGAAGGAAAATAAAGTTAGGAGAGGGATTTCATGAAGGGAGGTAATGAGAACAGATAAAAGGAGACCAGGAGGAGGGAGGGGGAGAGGAAAAGGGGAGGTACTAGGAATAAAACTGATCAAATTATACCATTATATTATATGCACAAATGTGTATCAATGAATTCCATGATTCTATATAACTATAATGCACCAATTAAAAAAGAAAAAAAAAACAGCATCAAAACATAATCCTGGGGCTAGGGATGTGGCTCAAGCGGTAGTGCGCTCGTCTGGCATGCATGCGGCCCGGGTCGATCCTCAGCACCACATACCAACAAAGATGTTGTGTCTGCTGATAACTAAAACAATAAATAAATATTAAAAAAAACATAATCCTAAAGCATGATAACAACAAAAAAAGATCTGACACCTAATAAAAGGTGATATTTGAATATATGATGTTGAATGGAAATTTGAACAAGAATATACAGAGAAAAATAACAGAAGACAGAACACTGAGGAATATCTCCATTTGGAGAATGAAAAACTAAAGAAAAACAGTCCTCAGACATTTCAAAAGGGAAGTCAGATGGTACAGAGGGAAGAGAGATGATTCAGTGAAAAGAAATGATCAAATATTAAGGATATGTGATGTAGATTATGGATAGAAAAAGGTTACCACATTGGGTACTTTGCAGGTTACTACTCACGTAAATATTTTTAGTAGAAGGATAAAACCAGACCTTGTCCAGTTAATCAACCAACACTGAACAAACATTCACTAACTAAAGACATGTTCTTCAATTTCTTAATATTCATTTGAGACATAAAGTGTGTTAAAGAGAGTACTTAATCAATTCTAAAACTTTAGAGACCCTAATTAAGACTTTAAGTGCATATGGGAAGTTTTCATCCTAAGGAATGTAGGTGGAAATGTAGAGTGTATAGGTTTGTTTGTTATTTTATATTTGAATCAGATGGGATATAATTTCTCATTTTTCTCAGTGTACAGGTTGAAATGATGATAATCTGGAATTAAAGAGACTGTAAGAATCTTTGGGGATAATTAAAATTAATGAGCATTTTCATACTTTTTTGGAAAGAAAATACCATGCAATTTTTCAGTCATGAAAATTTCATCTCAAAAATAGTTTTGCTCATATAACATTTTGTTTAAAATATGCAGGGCACTTGGAGCATCTGATACCTTATTTTTTCCAAATACTAAAATGATTTATTGTTCACAAAAATAAAATCTGTATGTTTATTTCAACTAAAATGTGAAACTGCCAAAAAAAAAAAAAAAAAGTCCACTTCCAGTTACATGTTTTCCTTCTTTCTTACAAGATAATTTTCTACCATCAAACTCACTGTGACATGACACAAAGTCTATATCTTGTTCATTACCTGGATTCGAAGTAGCTGGATTTCTGTTTCAAGTTCTTTGATTTTTTCTTCTCGTTTTTGAAGCTCAGCTTGAGCTTCCTGTCGAGCTGTGAATTCTTCATCAAACTGCAATGATCACCACCATAAATGTAGAGTTAATAATATATTTTTCAGAAAGCTTTAAACATTATATAGTAAATAACTAGAGTGTTCTTTCCTATATGAATTTCTAGGTCACTTAGAAAATCAAAGCTCTTGTTTATTTTCATGATAATTAAGTATCCATGTTAGGATGAGGCTCTAACTTTGAAGAGTAAAGAAGAAATATATTCCCCATGAGGGGTAAGGAAAACCATTTTCACTTTTGAAAAACAAATACAAAAGAAAAGTATAATGGACACATTTCTTGCTTTATTATTAAAATGTTGATTTTATAATTACTGTTTCATCCCATAGTATTAAGTTTAGTGAATTTGAAAATGGAATCTAAAAGTATGCCAGCAAAGAATTTCAACTCCTTAAATATATTTAATCTTGAAAAGGTATTGCACTTTTAGAATCCACAAATGAATGTACATGAATACAATCTGGAATGTTTCTATCAAATCTTAATTTTCTAGTATCCAAAAAGTGGTACTATAAAAATTCTTATAGTAGAATGATATGTTATATACCATTCTCGGTCAAATGGTTAACCAAAATACTTGTATGAGATGTTACAAGAGGGAAACATGAGAAGTTAAGATACATAGACTAAGCCAAAGAAACTGTCTACATAGTGAATATTAATTTGCTGCATCCTGCCCCAGTCTGTGCCTCAGTCAGAACTCTTAAGCTGGCCCACAACAGCCTACAATTTATAGTGCATACTGCCTTCATCCGGCTACAGAATATTTTATTTGCCTTTTATTGCCAATGTCACCTGAAGTCATTATATAGATCTACACATTATTTCAACAATGTTATTTCTGTTTCTATAAATAATATCTTTTACTGCCCAAAGCTGTCTTTATAGTTTGTGGAACAATACAAAAGTATGTTCACTGTAATAAATATTCATCCTCATAGCAGATTTGATCTTTGGATATTCTAGAATGCCATTGTGATCTTAAGTCTAAAGAAAGAATGCTGGACAGACTGGATAATAATAATATTTACATCAAACCTGAAATATTATTTGGTAATACTTTTATCCACCTCTAGTTGAGTGCCTGAAAAATGCCCCATAGAATCTGGTCCAAATCTCTATTATCTTTACATTTCAAAAGCACTCCAGGTACCTAGGGTGAAGGATCCTTCAATGACCTTGTTTCCCAGTTCACCAAGAAGATGGAGATTCTTGAATGTGAGCTTGCTTGACATCACTATCATACATGTTAAGATTTCTCTGAAGCTATACTCTCATCTCCTATGTGCTCCATAGAAGCTGGTCCAAACATGTATCTACACAAACACACTGTACACATCTTCTTCCTCTGAATTGTTTATAAATACATCTGAAAAGAGGCACACAATGTCTCTACTTTTATTTTTAAAGGAATCGCAGAAGACTGAAATATGTGAGCTGAAAGAGGTCTTCTTACAAGTCAACTAATCTTATCCTCTCCTTTTAATGATGAAGAGACTAAGACCAAAAGAGAGTAAGTGGTTTCAAGTCACAGCTAATTAGTGGAAAAGCTGTTAATCAGATCTTACAATTAGTGCCTCTCATTCAAACACTTTTTAAAAAACCTGCTTTATATTGTCTCTCAAGATGAACCAGAACAAAAGAATGCATGTAGATAACCAATGGGTTATCTCCACACCTTCCTATTCTAAATGTTGGCAATGAGACTAAAGCATCAAACACTAAAATTTCCATAATTTCAGGACCCCTTTCCCCATATTATGTGCATATAGAAAGCTTCACTAGAAAGATAATCAAAATTTACTTTTCTCATGATGTCTAATCACAATACCAGCCAAAAACTAAGGAGATTCTAAGATTTTCAAAAGGAATTTAAAGTGTGCTACTTAAAATAAGAACATCAGAAATATAAAGGTCTATTAATCAAAAAGCACACATTTTCATTCGCCAATAAAAATGACAGCTTCACACAAACATTTTATGCTCAAGCTCTTAAAAATCTATTCTAGTAACTGAAAGAGCAAAGACATTTCTTCAGATGCCCTGAAGTAACTCTATAATTTCTAGAGTGATAGCAAAAGTGATTATCTAATCTCCAAGGTAAGTCATAACTTTGGAGAGACAGCAATATGTAAGCACTTTATCTTGCTGTCAGAAGGCAGAAAACTGGAGAGCTTTTAGACTTGTGCTTTGGTCTTCCCTGCACCCAACAAGAAAGAAACACTACACCAACTCTTAAAAGGATCTAGAACAAAAAGAAGGAGGGAAAGAAAGCAGAAAGGAAGGAAGAAACTTGGTAGAAATTAATTAAATGGTAACTATGCTTATAGGAAACAATGAAAAGGTAATCTTAGGTCTAAATAAAATTAAGATGTTCATAATTTTGGCAATATTCAAAGACATTTACATAAGGCATTAGCACAGAAAGAAAGGGCACTGTGAGATTCCACCAAGACTCCATGAAGTAGCAGCATCCTTTAACAAGTGGCAATTACAAAATTAAAGAAGCTAAGTCTAAGAAGAGACAGAGAAAGAGAATACTACAACTTTCTATTGCTATCAACAACACTGATTTAAAGACAGTAGCTTTAAAGACCAGTAAAATATCTCCTAGTTAGCCAAAATGATACCTATTTTAAGTAAGAGATACAGGAAAGCAATGAGACATTTTATTTTGGTTGAATGTTTCTAAATATGTGCTTTCAGCAGCTGAATTTTTCTTATCACTTTAGTATAATATGGATAGTGTTTTCAAGGTGATGAGAAGGGAAGAGTAATGACCTTACCCTATCAGGAAATAAATCAATAGTCTGTTGTTTCATTTGAATCCTGAGATATAAAGTACTATAAAACTGAAACAAAAGTTATCAGATTTCATATAAAGAAACAAAGTAGACAACATGCTGATTAATTTGACAATTAGGCTAATATTTTATAAGCCTTACCTTCTTTGAAAATTCCATTGCTTTTTGTTCACTTTCTTCAACTTTTGCCTTGTTCACACAAGAATCTAGTAAGATTTATCAGAAATAATTAGAAATTATAACATGAGATCTCTAGCCCAAAGGTAGCTGCCAGCCTATAATTCTATGCACACTATCATTTCATTTTAATATTTTTTGTTGTCGATGGATCTTTATTTTATTTATTTATTTATTTATACATGGTGCTAAGAATCAAACCCAATGCCTCACACATGCTAAGCAAGCACCCTTCCACTGAGTTACAACACGAACCCCACACTATCATTTCTATGCCAGTTGCTATTAAAGAGAAACTAACCTATACCATATATCAAACAAACATGACATTTTTCTTGGACAAACTAACTGAATTGAATGATGGCATTCTAAAGCACAAAACCAAGCATCTATAAATATATCTGACTAACTTATCATTGTTATAAAGATATTTAATTATGTTTCAACTTATACAACTATAGAATTGTTAAAAATTTTTGTATTTGACTTTGGGTGAACAGGTGGCAAAGATCTAAAATTTAAGATCATAAAGACTCAAGATGATTCTTCAAAAAATGCTGAAGGGGGGAGACAAGAGTCACATTCATTACTTCATGCTTTCCAGTGAACAATTTAAAATAACTTTTAATATGGTACAAAATGTGCCATGAACATAGGGAAACAAACTTAAAACTTCTCAGGTCCAAGCAAGTACTTCAAGCTATAAGTAATGGACATATTTCTTTGGGGAAAAATTGTATCTTTCATAATTACATAAAAAGTCTATAATACCTAGCCATTCCACATCTATGTATTCAATCCCATCCCCAAAAATGAAAATATGTCTGTACCCAGACTTTTATATGAATGTTCATAACAGATTTATTTATAATAGATAAAAACTGGAAACTAAATGATCATCAACAAATATATGTACAAATAAATTTTCATATATCCATATTCTGGAATAGTACTCAGTGATAAAAAAGAATGAACTATTGATACATGCAATACAACATTAGGATAAATCTTAAAATAATTATATTGAATCAAAGAGTACATGCTATGTGCTTCTATTTATATAAAAATATTAGAAGATGAACAAATTTTCAAAATTTTTAAAACTTTAGAAAATGAAACTAGTAAGAGAAAGTAAAGAGAGATCAGTGGTTTTCTTAGAATAAGGACAGGTAGAAGGCAAAAGGAGGGATTAAAAGTATGCAGAAACATTAATGAGCAATAGTGATGTTTATTATCTTGATTTTCTGATGATTTTAAGTATACATGTCTCAATATTTGTCAGATTGAATACTTAGAATATAGGTATTTTTTATTATGTCACATTTATCTCAATACAGTTTTTCTTTCTTTTTTTTTTTTTAAATGTGTGTTTGGAGCAAAGCAACAAAGAAGAAAAGCACTAGGTTCTTAGGTCAAAGGGGAAGGCCACACCCATGCTGCGTTAGCCATACTTGGAAATGATTTTGACTTTAAATTTGAATAGGAAGGCATTGGAGATGTTATCGTTTGGATATAAGGCTCCCCAAGTCCAAACTATGTTAATACTTCTACCTTAATAGGTAATAATAGAAGAATGTTATATAGAAGAATGTTAATAATAGAAGAATGTTATACAGAAGAATATATAGAAGAATGTTAATAATAGAAGAATGTTCAGACTGGTCAGAGGTAAAATGATTATATATTATGAGAGTTGTAACCTAATCAGGCCATCCTAGTTTGGATGAACTAACTGGGTGGTAATCAGAGGCAGGTGGGACATAGCTGGAGGAGATGGGTCAATGGGGTCCTGCACTGGAAACATGCATCTTCCCAATGGCTCCTTCACTGCACTCCTTGGCCTCCCCACCACCTTTTGATCTGGCAAAAGAGGAACAACTTTCTTTCCTATTCTGGGCCCTTCCCTCATAATGTACTGCCTCACACTGGAGTGTAGAGAAATGAGATGAGACACCATGGAATAACGCTCTAAAACCAGAAGCCAAAACAAACTTTTTCTCCTCTAAGTTATATTTGTCAGGTATTTTGGTCACAGAAATGCTGAGGTAAACTAACACAGGAGATTTTTACACAAGGATCCAATCTGATCCAATTTGTGAAAGATACTAGACTTACAGAATTGTGAAATCAGAAGAAATCTTAGCAACCTCAATCTAAGTTATTTTTAAAAAGAAATTATTAGAATTCCCAGGAGTTCTTGAAGCACTTGATAATTTTGTGTGTATTTGTGTGTGTGTATATGTGTTCTAATTAAAGGTTCATGGGATTCATCAGCTTCTCAAAAAGGACTTTAACCAAGAGCTACCTAAATATTCGATTTGCCTGTTTTAGAACTGAGGCAGCTGGAACTTAAAGAAGTTAAAGATCTGTTCACAATTACAGTGATGATATGTGGATGAGGTCATAATGGGTTTATGATGCTGATTATCCTCTCTCAATTGATCCTTTCATTTGTCATCCTCAATTCTTTTCATAAACATTATACAATTGTAAGCACCTGGCACACAGCACACAAAACAAATATCTGTTGAACAGTAAAACAGCTATCCAAAATCAGCAATAGATTGTGTGTGCCAACTAGGGACCCTAATGGATTATAAGCCAACACATGGATTTGGAAATAGTCCCTTATGACTTGCTCAACAAAATGTGAAATAAACTAAGTTTATCAAACTCAGTGAAAAATATGAACTAAGGCCAGCATTCACATTCATTGCTAGGACAAAGGCAAATAACACAAGCTTTCTGAAAATCATTTGGCTTTGAAAATTCAAGCCCTTGCTTACAGCAATCAATCCTAAGAAAATAACGAGAAAAAGTCAAACATTTTAAAACAAGAATGCTGGTGAAGATTCATTTATAATTCAGGTGAAAACCATCTAGATATACAATAAGTAAGAACTCATTAAAATAATCATGATACTTGATACAACGGAATACTATACAGACATTAAAAGTCACATTTTGAAAGTTAACATAAAAAAAATCATCATATAATGTTCCATGAAAAATCAGCATATAGACAGGCAGACGAACAGGCAGAAAGGCAAGCACATAGATAAACAGACAAAAGGAAATGTACAGAACTGAAAAGGGACTAATTGTAATGTGACTTGTGACTCAAGATTCCTACAATAAGTGTGGATTGCATTTCAAAACAGAAAAGAATACATGGTAATATTAAGTTATACATGTTTGAACATTCCAACAATTCTGCCCTGTGCTATGGAGTGAAAAATAATAGATATTTGGCATTCAACAGCTGTTGTTTAGAAGTGAGTTTGTGCTTGAACCTCAGCAATAGTGATTTCAATTAGGTATAAATAAAACTGCTCAACTGTAAAGCCATATATCATAGCATATTTCATGAGGGAAGTTTCACATGATCCTTCTGAGATTATTCTACAAAGCACTGATAAATAGCAGTCTAGGATGATATAAGGTTATTTCCTCAGCAATCCAAAGACATGTACATAATGACCTCAGAATTTTTGGTAACTCTAATGTCTATGAAAATACAAACTGAGTTATTTGATAGCCTAAAAAGGTCTTTAGTTGCAGAAATAAGTGAGTATTTTATCTCTTAAGCTTTAGCAATACTAAGGATATCCCATTATACACATGATTTCAAAGACACCAGTATAAATTGAATTAATATATTTAAAATATTGAATTAAAATATTTAAAATATTAAATTAAAATATTTCATGCTTCTAAAAAGCAAAGCATTCATCTATAATAAAATGCCTTTTTGTGGGACAATGAGTTAAAACTGAGTTCAGTACTATTGGTACTTAACAAATAGGTTAACAGATCTAATCACACAGGTGGAACTTCCATGATCATCATAATTAATAATTACAGCAATAAGATACTTACAGACATAATGATATACCAGATGGTAATAGAAGTTATTCAATGAGAGACCTACTTTTAAAAAGTACCATTATATAGAAGATATAAAGCACATAGGACAGTAAAGATTATATTCCATACCTATCAGATGAGTAAAATCAATGTCTAATCTTTGTCTGTACTTAAAGTCTGGGTCCATGCCACTGCAGTGCAACACTATCTGAGAAACACACTCCTCAATTATTTTATAATACTGTGGCCTGAAAAAGAGAGAAAGTATATGTGAATAATTATTTTCTACTTGTACAAATAAATTTTCTTAAGAAAAGAATTAGTGTGTCAAAAGAATTGTCTTTTATTAGAGCTATTTAAAAAAAAGAAAGAAAGCCCTCTAACCAGTACACTACCTTTGGAAAAAATATGCCAAAGCTTAAAGAAAGATGCTCTGGATGTTATAGTGCCAAACCCATTGTGATATAATCAAATGGAAATACTTGGTGACTTAATCTTCTAGTCTGCAGAGATTCACGCTTGTGTTCAAAGATATTTAAAAACATTATCTGTTGGCTTGAACTATTGTTTCTAAAGTTAATGAAAAACATGACCCCTTTTATTCTATATCCATGGACACAGAAATGACTGTAGGCATGCACAAGTTCTGAATTTCAATAAGTGATGAGTTTCTTGGTATTAGGGGGCAAGCAACATCTTAAATTTACTACAGTACTTTTCCTTAAGATATGTGCAACAGTTTATAAAACTGTACTGAGCCACTGATGTTTCAAACTATTTCAAAGATTTTTTTGTATAACATATTTTAAAAGATCCATTTCATAAAAGCATGTGCACTTAATATGCATGGCTGTAGTCCCAATTTGTTTAAAGTGTCAAAGGTTTTAAAACATCTGGTGATTCTGTAATCTATCAAGGTAATTTTGGCCTTAAAAAACGATGACATTCATACTACAAAATAAAAAAGGCAATTTTTGCATTAAAATTTTAAGAAGATTTAGAATGTTGGAGAGGCTAATAAATTCAGCAGAGAAAATCAGTAATAAGTACTACTATAGATAAATCATGACATAAACATTCCTAAATAAATGCTTCTCAACCCACTAAAAAAATTTGAAAATGAACTCAAACAGATTCTATTTGTTTTTCTCTGTCCTTAGTTATGAGGCTGGTCATAAGATTAAGAATAAGAACTACTATACATTATATATCTGGAGCTTTTTCCCCCAAAGTCATTATTTGATATATGGTAAATAATACTGGATCATGATCCGAGTCTAGTTGACAACTCTGAGTAAATAAGGCAAATATAATTGTTCTCTGGGAAACCAGGTTAATAATCTCAAGTGGAATAAAAGTATTTGTTACACATCTACCTCAAAGAGATATTCTCAGTATGAAAAGGAAACCATGTGTGGGCAACTTGTCATTTATTATACTTACTGAGAAATAAATAGTTTTATATGAATGGTTACCCCATGTAACTGGTCACCTCAGAGCACAATATCTCTTTAACTGTCATAATTTAATATAGAAAACAATAAATCATTGTTAATGCAGTAGCATCTCTCCTGCTTAAAAAGAGCATATAATTTAATATTTTAACATTTTTTCTATGTTTCTGTAATGCTGTGATATCTATCAAATTATTGATCTGTACTGATCTATAATGTTCTCCATATTGCTTTAAAACCATCATTTTTGTTGCAACCAAACCTTACTTCATGGTCGCCTTCGTTTTCCCCTTAATCAAGCATTTTTTGAAAATCAGAAAATGTAGGTGGTCAAAATTTTATGCAAATTAAAATATGAAGACAATTTACAGCTAAATATAAGATCAAAGTCAGTAGACAATAAATAATTTCCATCATTCAGAAACCATTTTATAACTTTGATTTGCATACACATTCCCTGTTACCAAATTCTAAAACTTTTAACTTCATGGATTATTATCAGACTCATTTAGAAAAATTATATATCAGTGGACATAAAAGTGAAATATTTGCTTTTTTTTTTTTTTTTGGTGTGGGTGTGTGTGATGCTGGGGATTGAACCCAGAACTCTGTGCAGGTGAGGCAAACTGAGCTTTATCCCTAGCATATATATTTTCTAAAGGTGTTAAATTATATTTATTACTCTATAAAGGCTATAAAAGAGAAATAATCATAAAATCTTATTAAAATGTTCAGGATTTTTAAATGTCCTAGAATCTTTGGTCTTACCTCTCTGTGTTACCATTATCTAGCAAAGGAAATTCATCAGAGTCAGTAGTTTCGATTGGGTTCATTGCTACTAACAGTCCTATTCCTGGGATACGCCATTTTTATAAGTACATCTCTCTTCTGGCTCATTTTAAATACATTTTTAAAAATGTTACTGCCAGTGGCAATGGCACATGCCTGTAATCCCAGTGGCTTAGGAGGTTGAGGCAGGAGGATCACGAGTTCAAAGCCAGCCTCAGCAAAAGGAAGGCACTAAGCAACTCCATGAGAGTCTGTCTCTAAATAAAATACAAAATAGGGCTTGGGATGTGGCTTAGTGGTTGAGTATCCCTGAGTTCAATCCCTGGTGCCCCCCACAAAAAAATGTAACCTAGTCAAGTTCCTATATCCTATGTATGTACATATGTATATATTGCCTAGGTTCTATTCCTTTGATATCCATTTCAAATTATAAATATGCTACTCTTAGAACTGCCTCTTACCTGATATAATAATCATTTCTGATGAGCAAAAAGTGTTGCAGAATGGATAATAAGTAATTTTCAGCTGCAGTATCTTTCAACATATTATATAGAAGGTGATATACTTCATTCATATCAGTAAAAAAGTAAGTAAAGGAAAAAATATCAAAGATTCTTGATGAAATTTTCACTCATAACAAAAGCAGCTTAATTTTTTAAAAACTACGTTTACCATTTTACTTCTATTACTGTTTCTAAACCTTCAACACCATGATCCAGTATTTAAACATTTATGTAAAGAAAATGATTCTATGGAATAATTTTAGTCTTTTAACCAGAAAATCAGACCTAAAGAGCATTTCCAAGACCACTTGGCTGTCAAAAGCTTGAGTAATAATTCATTCATTATATTTTGAAGTACAGATTATAGCTGGTACCATTAGAACAGCAATACCATCAATGAAAATGGTTTTATCTTGATGTCCCTGTGGTTTTCAAAGTGGGCCTACATTATCCGTACAAACAACTACTACTGTATTTTCAATGCCATATAAGATAGAAGGCAAATGAGCATGCTTTAAACTACTAAAAGATCAAAAAAGCAGTTTTATTTTACCTAGATAAAATACTAAATATGAAATTATTATTTGTATTCATTTGTTGTTCACGATTTGAAAGAAGTTGGGAGAGTAAAGACAAAGGAGGTTAAAATATATTTTTCTTAGGAATAAAGTGGAAGTGCAGGTGCTTTTAGTGGAGGAGAAAACAATTCAAAAATGAATTCAGTTTCATAACAAAAGTGAAGACCTAGAAAATCGATTGAAAATAAAGGTAAAAGACAAGATGTAATTCAACACCCTAAAAATAACTTGAAATGTCAACATTTTCTCTGAAGTAGAATTAAGTATATGACGGATTACTTCTTAGACCCATGTAAGAGGTTTGTGTTAAAGTATCATAAGATCCCTTAAATGGCTACAGAATGAATCCAACAATAGCTATACAGTGACATTTGGTTATAAGGGAAATCTATAAAAAGCAAGATATTTATTAATTGATATAAAAAGCATTTAATATTAGAAAAGATAGTGCAGACATATATCACTAAAACTTGGATTAGAACTTATTCCTCATAATAATAAATTTTTTATTCATTACACACACACTTATCTTTATATGACTTCGATAGGTGCACTGGAGGAAAAAATGAAACATAACATTTCTGCCCTCAATCTCACAGGAGCAGAGAAGTGTACATAAATAAGACAGAACAAACAAAGTACTCTGGGAATGTCAAGGAAAGGAATATAACTACAGTTTTTTTTACAGGGAAGAGAACATATCACTGGGAAAAAGTCCAGCTCAAAGGTCACAATGGTTCTGAAGATTTCCCAACTTCCCAGAATCTATGAGTAAGAAATTCAATGGATGTGAAGCAAATGGCCAACAGTGCTATGACAACCATGTCTTGTGTCAAAAATCATTTCACATGTCCATGCCAAGGGAAGATTATAATCTAGCTGTATTTGACCCAGATCCTTCTATGACATAGCCTTGATGGAGTCAATTACTATTGTATCTAAACATTTTTATTACTACTAAAGAAAACAGACATCAGATAGAGAATAAGACATTTATTTTAATGGACTGATATCTCTCACTGGAGTACCATTTAATAAATTGAAAAACCATATTACCTATAGTCACAAAGGAACTCTGTGGACTTTTCCTCATTCTTATATGTAAGTTATACTTGTCTATTCAAGACTAGTGAGCAGAATATCCCTATAATACATTGAGCCACTATCTAGATTTCAATGTAGTCTGTACACACCATCAAGAGAGTCTCACAGCTCCTCAGCATAAATCTCCAGGACAACATCAGAACAAGATTCCATTGTAAATACACGTATACAATCTGGGCTGGCAGAAAAGAACTCTAATAATGGTCCCCAAAATTACCCACAAATCCCTTTTACATGATATGCACAAAATTATTTTGGGGTTGTCAAAGGATATTCCATTTCTGCTCGAATATCATTGAGACGATGGGATAATTCAGTTAGGTCGTCCTCTTTGTTCTCATCAAATACTTTCAACTGAATATCAAGCTCATCGTTCTCTTTTTCTTTTAGATCCTAGTATATAAACATAAAACTTAGCAGATGAATAAAAGTTTGACAACAGCAAATTTTGAAAATAAGGGGAATAACACAATTATTCATTTATACACACATAAGCAATTTCAAAAATGGACCAAGGCAGTTGGTTTCCTGAAAGAAAGTAAATGTAACAAAGATTTTCTATTTAAAAATAAAAGATCCTCACTGCATTCACTGCACTTTCCTTCCATGCCCCGATTTTGATATTCACATTAAAAAATTAATGATTACTTCTACAACAATAACAACAACAAAAATACTAATTGCTAACAACTCAAATAAATGCTGTGGTTTTGACTAAACATACTAATCAAAGATCACAAAAGAATTCATGCAGTTAAAACATTCACACATAGCCTCTGGCCAAAAAAAATAAGCAAATATAGACCAATTGTATTAATAAAGAACAAATGCAAGGATATATTCAAGCACAACAGTCCCAAGTATGGCGTGAAAAAGTTGTCTAAACAAATTTATATTAAATGATATTTTGTGATTTTTAAAGCAAAAAGGTGTTAGGAATTTTTTATCAAACTGTAATTCTTAGCCTCCTCCTCCACCTTTCATTTTTGCTTAGCCTAATCACAAAATATCAACTTGGGCTTTGAAGATTTTTGTAATACATCCTAAGCACATGCATTACAAACCTCTGATACTTTTCAAAAGAATAGTATAAAAAAAAAACTTTGGGAGCATGCCACACTAGAGATTGTTGGGCTTAATATATATCACCTGGAATATCTCTTAATATGTGTCCATTAAGTTGCAGCTTTCAAAACCCAAATCGATAATCACAACTGTGGATGCTCAAGGGTGTTACCGAAAGTGGGAATAGGATATTCAGAGTTGAGCTTGAACTCTAAAAAGAAATGCAAGCATGGTGTACTTCAAATTAGGTAAATAAAACAAATTGGGATGCATTTCTTGTTTGTATTTTATTCAGTAGAACAATTATAAATGAGGATGTAATGGCTATAACTGAAGGCAAATCCAGTATAAGAAATTTTTAGATGTTCTTTTTCTAACATTCAACATACATTCACATTTACCTATGTTTATCAACATTCATATTTATGTATAGAGCATATGAAGACATTGTTTAATGTTTTTAAATAATCTGAAATAAAATACATAATGAATAAATGTATCTCCACTTAGTTTCCTTCTTAATAATACCCTGCTTTGACACCAGTTTTCCAATTTGAAGGGGAATAGAGGATTTATTGCAATGCAAAATTACCTAACATTAGTGGGTAATATCATGAGTTAATTTCTGAACTCTATTCAAAAAATTGCAGAAGTTGGAGATGTCCAGTATGCTGATTATTACAGAAACAACCTTTCACATATTTTATAATATGAAATTTTCTTTATTCTCATGTCATAATATATTGTCTTAGACATTCATCACAAAACTTGAACACAGGTAAATGTGTGAAAAATAGAAAAATTTAAATGAAACTATCGTTTAATTAGTATCAAAACTTTACAAAACATTGAAACCAGTCTGCATGACTGAAATATTTTCAGTGAAAATGACTGTCTAAATATCATTGCATAATATAAAAAATATAGACACATATAAATGCAATATATATAAATGTTCTTTATTAATAATGGCCAAGAACTATTAATATAAATGCATATGCATACATATATATATACATCTATTCTTAATTATAAAATATCTTTTCAAATGTCAAATCTTGAAAGATATATCCCCAAATATTTAATATTTAATGAAATAAAAAAAGTTTATGAAGTACAAATGATATGATAGATATCACATAAAGGAAAATGGAAATGTATCACCAAGGTTTTATAAGATGTGAAATATCAAAAAATTACGAAATTACACTATCATTAATTTGGAAAATATTAAAAATATGCTTCAGATTTTTGTTGTTTTTAGGGTTTTTTAGGAATTTTTTTTGTTTTTGCAGTAGTAGTGCACTCTACCACAGAGCTACACCCCCCTGCCCTTTTAAAAAAATATTTGTTTATATATACAATATCTTTATATATAATTTTTATGTGGTGCTGAGGATCAACCCTACCATATCTCTTCTGAAAAGATGAGGAATAAAATAAATTAAAACAAATATTACAGTATTCCTAACTAGCAATTCATTAGTAGTAGTAAGAAAATGAACATTTCATTCTAGAGAGAGGGAACTGAAAGGTGTAGTAATAAGTACAGCAGAAACATGGCATATTAGTAAGTGAGGAAAGTATGCTAAGGATCCCCTGGAAACTGCAAGTATCCAAACATATTATTTTCCCAGAAACAGAGAACAAGACAAGTAAGAGTAGCCATGAAAACCATTAAGATGACAACTTAAAAGCAACCAAAAAAAAAAGAGTATAAGATCATTTCTAGCTATCTAAGGCCACAGGTTTTGCAGAAAGAGAGATTAATGATAAAAAAAAATAAGGACATGTCACATATCCTATAACTGGTGAATGCACTTACATGAACTACACACTGAACGTGAATCTCTACATGGTTCACAAAAAAACGTTGCTTGGATTCACTGTGTCCAATTGACTGGACTTTAAGTCAAAAATTAAAGAGCCACTCAAGATGACACGAACATAGAAATGCATTAAATGAGGAAGACCCAAAATATATTTTATTAAAATGGGTTTAAATAGACCCAATCTTACAATTTGGTATAATGGGTTTCATTTAAGAGTATCCAACCACAAGTGACAGATGCATATTGCATGCTGGCTCCTCACCAGGAAATTTCCCGAATTTTGGCATGTCTAGTAACCCAGGTACTACACATCAATTATTAAGATTTTTCTTTGCTCAGCCCTTTCTTTTTCCTCCTTGACTTTTACTTCTTAATTCTCAGGTGTGTTCTCAATAGCTTAAGTGAAAAGAATAGTGAAATGTCACTTGTCTCTTTTACAATGCCTTAATCTTAAAGAAAGTCACTCTTCAGTTAATATGCTTAACACAATAAAATATAGAGCCACAGTAATTGGACTTGTATTAACAGAATAAGTGTGTTCATTTGTCTCCAATTCTGACTATGAAATTATTCCAAACCTATTTTAACACTATTAATTAGAACAAAAATTCACATTCAATTAAGAAATAAAACTACTTTTCTTTATAAAAGTTCCTAAAGCACTGTTACAAGAGCACCATTCTTAAGCAATGCATCTAGAATAAACTAATGAGAACTCTATACATACTTATTTTGAATACAAATGAGAGCAATCTAAGTTATCAAAGAGAAAAGTAAAAAAATTCTAATTGAAAATTGACTGCACACACACAAAAACACACGCGTATGCACACACAAACTAGTTTTCTATATTCTCAAAATTCAAAGAAAAGAAATTCCCTTTTGACTTGAAGAAGAAAAAAAAATCTACATCACTTCAGGGCACACCATTAGCTGAATTTGGAATCATGATTTCTACACTGAGAATGACATTACCGCAATGAAAAATAGCTTACATAACATCTAAAGCTTCACAAAAGAAAACTGCAAGGCACATAAGTATGTTATTTCAAAATATACTTTTGTCCAAAGAGAAAATTGTTAAAAGTTCATCAGCATAATATACACACTAAACTTACTGGTAACATGGTTTTTAGTCCTGAACGAAGGAATTCATTCCTTAAATGGATTCGGAAATCAAGGTCATATGGAGAAGTGACAAGGGCATTTATAAACTGCATGCACGCCACCTGAAACAAGAAAGCAAATTTGTTAAAAAATATGTTCAAATAAATTAAGGAAATATTTACTGAATGCATTTGGATAAATGCATTCACTGAAGGCAAAAATACACACATATTATAAAACAAGAAATGCAAATACTTATAACGATGGTTATGACTTTAGATTAAGAACAACAAAGAAACAATAAAGTTTCTGATGTCAAAATAATTCTAACAAAAATGTGGTGTATGATCAAGTATTTTATGCTTTACTGAACAATATGAAAGAATATTAAACTCCCTCTGAGAAAACCAAAGTTCAAAGAGTGTGCATATCGGGCCCCTTGAAAAGTTCGTGAAATGCATCTTTCATATCCAGCTTTCCTCAGAGTGCACTTGGCCTCAATTCTATATGGTTATACTTTTCTAAAATCAATCAAATATAGTTATAAAATTAGCCTATTATCAAACAGGGAACAGTAACATCTTGGGAAAATTATTACTCTGATTTACACTATTTCTATCCTCTTATTGGGATAGATTAACGCAAAATATAGAGTATTAAAATATGTAACTAAATGAATTAACATGGTTAGTGTAAAATATTAATGTGAGTGAGTTAAGATCAACTAGAAGGCACTGTGATACCAATACTAACATGTTCAGCATAATGAAGTGTACATGTTTGTTTCCAAAAGAAATGTTTCATTAATTATATTTCTATTGGAAAATGAATTTTGCTCTTCTAACCTTCTGATTTTGAAATTTCCTTTCAAAAGGAAATTTATCTGGAAATTGCAAGCAAGAAGAGAACTGGCAAAATGCTCATTTCCAGGTGTTGCATATATTATTCTTGAATAGCATTTTTAGAAAATGCTGATAAAAATCTAAGGCAACTGGCTAATAGTTTAATTGAAGAGGTACACATTTGAACTGATTATTTTTAATATATGTAATAGGTAGTAGAATACTTAAAGAGCTGACTTCTAGGGGATTCATGGAAAATGCCAAATTTAGTAAAGATATTAAATACGTATAAATAAAAACATAAATAAGTAGTTATAATGGAAAATAGACATTAACAAATATATTTCAAATGCATTTGACTTCTCTAGACCTGTTATTAACATAGAGTTAATTTTTTAACATAGAGAAGATTAAAAAGGTACATTGCTTTTAATTTTATATCTAAAGCTGCTCTTGGGGAGATCAACCCTTCTATCTCACATCCAGATTAAAAAATAAAAGCTGCATGTTTTAAAGGAGTTGAAGAAGACAACTAAGGATGTTTAGAACATTACTTATACCTAAATGGTAAGTGAACAATGTAGTCCAGTTTCTAAGATATTCAGATATCAGGAGAACATACTCAAACAACTAAATATTTTCATAGACTTGGCATTATGTTACAAGGATACACCAACCAAGTTATTATGAAGTTTATGCATTAATGGAATATATAACCTTACAATTACAATAAGAAATTGTGTAAGACTTTATATTGTTTTCATAGGCTAGGATATATGTTTGCATCCTGTGTATAGTACTATAACATTGTATTTGCTTGAATGATTCTTGTTACGTTACAACTATGACATGACCAAACAAGCCAAAGTACATGACAAATCCAAAATTAATAGAGAGAAAAATTTCCATCTGCTATGATGGTTTTTGCCAGAAATTCAAGTTTAATGGCTTGTATTAATACCCAACTAGTAAAGAGAACATTTCCATAAGAAACAACATAATGAGTCTTATAATTGTACCTTTGCACAAATAAAAGTATTTAAACCAAGAAACAGTAAAAATAGTAAAAGTCAAAATTAATGAATATACCAACATCTAAATAACTACATTTAATAAGATAACACTGCAATGCTACTAAATATTTTACCTACAGTATATGAATATATAGTTGAACAAGGATGATGAATTTATTGACGATGGTATAAAATAATTATGAGACACTTTCAAGTCAGTACTTTAATAAAGGGAATAGTTTGACAATGTACCATTTATTGTTTATCAAATTCTAATAGGCATCTAATTAATTACAAACAACACAATGAATCATAATATTACCACATCATTTTCCAATTTTCACTGCTAGAACAGAACTCTTTTATAGAAATATTTATGCTGCATGAATTTGAGGAATACAAAAGTCACCTAATTATCTTCATTCCTTTATGTCACAATTATTGCCCTTTCCAGAAAACAGAATATCAATTCAAAATTGGAATAACAACACTATTTACAAATTCAAAATTTAATAAAAACCTAATTGACTTATAGGAAAGAATATTCTATTATGTAATTATGAATATGAAATATATCCATTGGGTGAATTCTGAATTCCTAGCAGAGTACAAAACCCCAAATCTTCATCATCATCATTAGTTTTAATATCATTAAATGCCAGACAATGTAGTATGAGCTTCATATAAGTCACTATCTAATCTCATCCTCTTAAAAAACATATGATATAAATATTACTATTATCTTTATTTCACAGATGAGGAATCTAAGGCTAAAACCAGATAAATAACTTACATGGGGTCATAGAGCAATGAGAAAACTCATGTTCTTAAATAATATCACTTTACTACAAATACAGAAAATTTCAGCACATAATCCAGACATCTCATAAACTCCATTCACAGATTGATCCAATAAAAGATTTTAAAGATAGGTAAGATAATAAATTTAATGGGTACATTGTGCTTGATATACTAGGAATATCAAACTTAGAAAAACAGAACTATTTTAACAACATGTTGCCTACCACATAAAGTAGTAGGTTATTCATATATATAATAAAATATGAATAAAAAATCCACAAAAGTAGAAAATGATTGCTGGATTGGGGAATCCAAATCCATACATTCTGAGCAGTAACATGGACAGGATTCCTTCATCCAATATAAAGGTCTCTTACTCTCCTTCCTTTCTGTCATACTACTCCCTACTCTGCATGCATATGTATGCAAATACATGCACGTGTGCATGTATAGACACACACTTATACTATAACACCGTAATGTTTAATATTATCGTCCCTAATCACAGCTGAAATTTAATTATAATTAAATTAAAAACTCATTTTTTCATTTTCACTAGCCATAGTTCAAGTGCTTAAAAGTTACACGTGGCTAGTAGCTACTATAGTGGATGGCATGAATATAGAACACTGAAGAAAGTCTGACCAAATAGTCCAGCACTGGAGACTTTAAAGAAAAAGAAAAAAAAAAAAAAAAAACTTGCCTTATCTCTAAAACCTAAGCACCAAAGAAATACAAAACTCATTCCCAAATAATGAATCTTCTAAAATTGGTATGCTCAACTTCCAAGTATAAAAATCTTTAAAAGCCTGAGTGAACTGTATTGTCCTCTTACAATGTAAAATCAATCTGCTTTAAAAAAAAATCTAACTCCAGAGATAGAAAGTAAAGAATCGCGGAGCTCCAGTGGCGCAATCGGTTAGCGCGCAGTACTTATAAGAAAGTAAAGAATCATGGTATTTTAAAATCAGAGAAACATAAAATACTTTATGCTAGTATATTCATTTAAAGGTAAAGAAATAAAACCTAGAGATACTAGTTAATTAGTTAATTAGTTCATATAGCTAATAAGCACCAATGTTGGGATTAGAACTGAGGCTTTATGACATTTAATCTTGGATTATTTCTACTACACCATAACATGCTAATCTAGTCTTGCTCAATAACATTTATCTTTATAACAAAAAGAAAATAAATGCCCTTGAATTGAATATCATAGAGTCCATTACCCAGATTTCCTCTGTTGCTTATTTTCTTTATAATAGCTTTAGATGTCAAAATGGTCATATGTATTTCAGGGGTTTTTTGTGGCTATAATTATTTTAATTATATTCTGTAAATTACTTGTCATCACTGACTTGTTAAATTTTAACTCTTTCCCTTCTGTACACAATTAAAAAATCCATGTTAATAGTAAGTATGACCCTAAGAAAAGGATTCATCCTAAGAAATCTAATCTCTTCTCCAGCATCACATGGGTGATGGCCTCTAACTGACTCAGGATTGCAAATGCCTCAGTTTCTCTGCAGACTAAAGAGCAGCTGGAGGGATACCTTCTGTTAACAATATCCTTTTGCTGGGAAGAAGTAAATAAAGGCATAGTCTAATGCTCTTTCAGATGAGGAAGGCTGAGTTCTTACTGCTATAAAGACTTGGTGCGTGTGTGGGGGGGTAGAGAGATTGATTGATTAAAACTGAAGAATACAGGTTCATCCAAATGGCTCTCTCTTATTTTTTTAAAGTATATAATTTAACACTTTTTAATATATTTATAGAGTTGTACATTAATCATGACAATTCATTTTAGAATATTTAATCACCTTAAAATAAACAAAGTGCCCACTACAGGTCACTTTCCATTTTCTTCCCTGCTCATCCCACTCCCCACCTCTAGGCAACCATTAATCTATTTTCTATCTCTATAGATTTGCCTACTCCGAATACTGCACATAAATGGAATAACATAATCTAAGTGATTACAATTTCACTTAGCATAATGTTTTCATGGTTTAACCATGTTGTAACATATAGCAGTACTTCACTCACTGAGGATGATGCATAATATTCCATTGTAAGATACATTACATTTTCCCCTTTCTTTGTTTTATTTTATATAGCAGCAGAATACATTACAATTCTTTATACAGAGCATGATTTTTCATATCTCTGGTTATATACATAGTATATTCACACCAATATGTAATCAAAATCAAGAATCAATAAATGGGATGGACTCAAACTAAAAAGTTTCTTCTCAGCAAAAAAAAACAATCTGTGAGGTTAATATAGAGCCTACACATACTAACACAGCCACATCAATGTTTACAGCAGCACAATTCACAATAGCTAAATTGTGGGACCAAACTAGACGTCCTTCAATAGATGAATGGATAAAAAAATGTGGATATATACATAATGGAATATTACTCAGCAATAAGAGAGAATAAAATCACGGCATTTGCAGGT